AGCATACACGACATACCTGTAATTGTATGCCTTACCACAGAATTGTTTACAGAGCAGTTTTTATCTGGTTTTGTGTTTGAGAACAAGTGTGCAATTGGAATAAAGTCGTTGATGTATAGGAGACTGACCAATTAGAACAGTTGTCTTATATAATCTAACTAGATGTCCGTCATGGTCCAAAGCAAAATGTCACCTGAGCAAATGCAACTGAATAATCTTTGGCAGTGGTTAGTTTTTGTTTAACGAAGGCTAAACACTGTCAGAAAAGAAAGAAAAAGAAAAATACAAGAAAAGTAAAAGGTTATTGTAAGCGTTGTAAACCTCAGCACCTCTCCGCATGTAAGTCGAAAACTTCCGAGAATTTAGTAAAGATTTTCTTATTCTAATTTTAGTTTATGCTTATTCTATTCTCTGCGTTCAGTGAATATAATGATTTTCCTTGCAGTTTTATACTTTTTATATTCTTATTCTTTTCCTGCTACATTATTTATCCGTTTTTAAAGTATGATTAGACGTCATCCCTTAGTGCGCGAGGAAGCATTAAGTGACGTAATATTTCCGAAAAAATTCTTAGAAAATCTTAGAATTCTTTTTAAAATAAAAGTCTTACGTTTTACGAGCATCCACGTGTGAAAAGTCGTAAAGATTGACCGGCAAGCATAAATACACCATTTCTCTGACATTTTCCGAAGTCAAGTTGACTCAGTGATAGTACCTCAGATTTGTAATTCGAAGTACCTCGGCTAAATTCTCATATTCAGAAAATATATGGAAAAATATGGACCAACCTTTGATGTTGCAACTGTACGACCCCAATGTCGTGAAACTTACTCTCTTTACCACACATTTCGTGAAAGTCCAAGCTGACATTTCACGGTCCCTCACGATTGAAAAGTTTATAAAATTTCCCCACGGGTACAGCTAAACATCTATTTTTCAAAAACTTTAATCACAGTTTTCGGATCCAAAAAGATTCTGGAGAGTTTAAATAAAAATATCACGAAAACTTTGCTGACTGACTCTTGAGATTAGATCAGAGTTACAGTCAAGGTGTTCTGACGAAGGAAATGTGTTTAGACATGCTTTTTTTGAAATGAATCCCTTACTTGAGATCATAATAATAATTACTAATTTTCTTCTGCATCTAGAACTATTAGTTAACATTAACAGACATCTATTTTACTATCGTTTATGTCATTAACATCGTTAATGAACAACGCATAAAGATAAGCTCAATTGATGGCCTTCGATTTATGTGAATGGCGATGGCGTATGGCGACGTTATTGTATGCGAGTTACACTGTTTCTTTTCACGATAAATTAAGAATGATGTACTTCAAGAAACTTGGTAAGAAGCACATAATAAATCTATTCTTAAGAAAACAACACAATGTGTCAAATATAGCCCCATGTGTATTGACGACATCGGCAAAGTTCTGCTTACTAAACTGTTTAAAGCAAGAGTAAGCAAAAATATATTGAATAGGCTTGCATCTTATTTATCAATAACATCGTTAAGTTGTTATTATAAATAATAAACTATCAAAGATCGTCAAAATAACATCGGGACTGGATAAAATTTGAGAGAACCCGTATAGTAGCGATGTGTTATAATAGCAGGACCTTACCACATGCAATAAACTATTAGCTCTAAGCTGAATACCAGTATATATTAGTACATGCCGTTGTCTAATTCTTTTACACCAAGTAATTTCTAATTCTCACTTCTAATTCTCTATGGAACAAACTCGACATTTGAAAAAATAAAAATTTTTCTTGGTGTTTACTTATTGTCAAATTCAACATGCATTCCATATTGAAAATGCCACAGCATAATGTCGAGAATTGCTTCGTGCTGTGGATATAATATTCAAATGTGCACCAATCTTTAATCGACACCTTATGTATAAATCTTGTACGTATACTTGACGGATGTTGTATAATCCTTGGTAATGACTATACTTCACACCACTCTTTCTAACATCTACAAAACTTTCTGACAAGAACGAATCCTACTAATGTTTTTATGCAGTAGTACAACTTTTGCTATAAACGCGCAACTGTCCGGTCTTCTCGCTAGAAGGAAGTACTTTGTTTAAAGGTGCTACCTTCCTCTTGTTTTCAAAATACTTTTCATTTTGAGCCGTAGCCTAATGTAGAGGAAAGTCTGGACTATGAAATGAGACCACTCCCGGCTCTCGACAACCTTTCCTCAAAAAATTTATGAAGTTTTTAAATTTCTCCTTCAAAGCTTAGAAAATTTCAACGTTTTAGTTTTGTAAACTTTTCTCTCCTGTATATTCAAAATTTTTTCTTATAGATAGTCTGATAGAAGAAAGTGTGCAGACGTCTTCTAGAATTTCCCGATGAGTTTTGTGGAAATTTAAGCATCACTGCAAATGCTCTCATAAACAGAGCCCTGTGTATAAACCAACAAATAATTGGGGTTTTTAAAAAACTTTTCTAGAAATCTTCCGAACTACAAGGATATTGTTTACTTTTCTTAAGTAAAATATCATATTGAGCAGATAAAATAGAGTACATCTTGTTAGTATGACATAATTTGGATGGCTTTTGACTGAGTTATGAACTTTTTAATTTTACTCAACTATAGGCAAAAATGGATTATTTCACCTCATGTAGGTTTCACTAGGTTTTCGGAACTTATTTGAAAGACAAATGTGACCACGACATTCGGCGTGCTTGATTACCTATGTTTCCATTTATTTTTGGAATTGCCACACCTAAAGAAATATTGATCCTGGAACTCTCAGGAAGTCCGTTGCCACACCTGAACCGGGAAAACGTAAGAGTCCGCTTAGTCCCCCTTGTGCAGAGGACATCCTGGACTATATACCTATGAAAGAAGCTGATGTTATCCTTGTTGTAGAGTGTTATCCCAGAATCCGAAGATCCAGACTCGTTCTCTAAAGATCTCTTAGAAAACTGATCTTTCAGGTATTTTTCGAATAGGATTTTGCTTATGAAAATATAGGCAACTGTTTTCTTTCGATTGCTGAAAATCCCAGATCAGTCTTTCTTAGTTATTCAAAAACCGCTAATTAGCGTGACTCATGTACAAAGACGTAATAATCGCCTCAGTGAACTGCGAAATTTACTAAATAACACCTTAAAAATCTTCGAGATTCAGCAACACTTGTACATGAGAAGACTTTAGAATAAACACTGGTCTTTTATACAGGATCTTTAGCATTTTTCGAAAAGACAAAAAGTGAACCGGAGATAGGTTCTGAAGTATCTGTGGTAAAATTTCCACCTCCATCGGACCATATTTTTGATGGATCGTAATGTGACTGGATGGAAATTTTTCCAAAAAACCCATAGAAGAACATGGCAGAAAATTGTGGGCAAAAATACTGCGATTTTTTTTCGATGTTCCATCTGTGGTAGAAAGGGAGTAGTCCGCATAAGACTTGAACTCGGTCCACTAACTTATTGTTATTTTATTGCCTCAAAGTATCCATAATTCATCAAACTTATCTTATTTAGTGCTTTCGACTGCATCGGACGATTCCGATTGGACGTATACGATCAAATCTACTCGCAGACAAACACCCCAGTTACACTATCAGTATTACGGTAAAATCAAAATTTCTCCGCAACTATACAGTAATTAGTCTGGTGTAATACACCATTCGATGAGTCTTGAATAGCTCTACAAGATGAGAAAACATCTCATTTTGAAGAGCACACTTTCTTCTGTCATGCTATATATAAGAAAGTTTGTAATATATGGGAATTAGAGAAAACTTTACGAGTCTAAAAAATTAAGGTTTTCTAGGCTTTGAAGGAAAAACTTAAAAATTCTGGAAGTTCTTCAAAGAACGTCATGAAGAATTGGGGTTGGTCTCATTTTATATCCCAGACTTTCCTCTACATTACACTATGTTCGGCTCAAAATGACAATTTTTCTTCAAAAAAGAGAGGGTACCCTTAATAATACGTTGATGTTTGTTTAGTTCTTTAAATGTACAGTACTCTTTCTGTAATTGTTTGAATAAATCAACGATAAAAAAATGCATATAAAAAATTATTTTAATGTTTTGATCCCGGAAAGCCTTGTTAAGAACACGATAAAGAAGAGAATCTGTTGTGTACCATCATATAGTCTTTTCAGAATCATATGTTTGTTCAAAATCATTCAGGAACTTTCCATTAGCTAAATTGTCCTAGTAATATACTTTGAATTTGTTAATCATTCTTTTTCTTGAATCAACATTATTTTCTGTTTTCAACAATGCATCAACAAAAAGTCTAAACCAACTAGAAGAATGAATAGTGATTGTCGTTTTTGAAAACGCTTTAATATTCTTTGAAAGTTCTCCCAATAATTCGTCTAACATTGGAGTTTTAATTTTAACCTTAAAAGAATACATACAAACGCCTGGCATAACGTTTCTTCATCGAAATATATAGAACTCGACTTGGAGATTTTCTCATTTTTGTGCAATTTTTTTAGCAAAAAGTTTTTTTTTTGGCAGACTGTGGCGAATAATATGTTGCATGGTCTATAACTATGTGACAGTATAAAGAAACCTTATAGAATATGACTTGTCACCATGAAAGAAAAGACAATATCTACTGTTCTGATATCTCGTATCTTCTTCAATCGTTCTCGTCGCTCAACGACACTACTTTTGTCAGAAAACTTGAAAGGACAGCTTGGATGACAATAGATGAGTGCAAAAACACAACTGAGAAAACTGTTATTGCGCATCAACCGTTTATTCTTTCAGGATCTCGTTCGATGCGATAAAGGAGAATACAACAGTATCGATCGAGACAATGTGTGGACCATGATCTGCTGATCGCACTCATTTTCCTTATCAACAGTCTGTAATTTTGATTTTCTCAACGGAGTCTGACGCCAGTAACCACGATTTTCTTCTAGATTGCAGAAGAAAATAAGCAAATGCAGAATGACTGACATCCCTAAACAGCTGATCACTGGCAAAACATGGATCAAAAATTGAAATGGACTACAAAAGGTATTTCAACAGCTCGGGCAAAGCGACGATAGCCCGCTCTCGCAGGCGATAGTGTACAGCATGTGATACTGTGGTATCGCTCGGGTTGACTTCAATAGTAATCGCATTGGTTTCTGAAGCGCGTAACACAGGTCCAGCGATGTATGGAAACACACTGGTAGTGCCAATTGTGATAACGGCGTCCACACCTTTATCCATTATCTCAGAAAGTCGCGTTAACGCAGGTGCCGGCAACATCTCACCAAATAAGACAACGCGTGGACGTACGAGCGCACCGCATCGCTCGCAATCCGGTGGAATTTTCAAGTCGGCGAAGTTGACAACGTGTTTTTCATGGTTACAAGCGGTACAAAACAGTTCATGAATGTTGCCATGAATTTCAATGAGGTCTTTTGTGCCAGCACTGCGGTGTAAACCGTCGATGTTTTGTGTGAGCACAGTGAATTGTTCAAACTTTGATTCGAAAGCCGCAAGTGCTTCGTGCGCAGCATTGTGTTTGGCAGCACGGCAAGTAGACTCGATTTGGCAAATGTACTTCCAGCAAATATCCGGCTCTGTGCGCATCGTGTAGCCGGACAAAGCCTCCTCGATTGTCAGTCCCTCTTCGGTTTCTTGACCATCACTATATAGACCACCGATGCCACGGTAGGTTGGTAGTCCGGAATCTGCCGAAATGCCCGCACCAGTGATGGCTAACACACGTCTGGCGTGACGAAGATCCTTGGCAGCTGCCTCCTACAAAAATATTTGATCTCGTATACAATCTGGTGGAAACCTGTTATTCTCCAATATTGCCGAGAAAATGCTCCCAGCTCTTTTTGTAGAGGAACCGAATGACATTGAAAAATGTCACTGCTTATTTGTACTACCGAAAAATATTCTTCCGCAACAGTTCTCTTTCTAAGAGGGAAGGCTTTTGGTTGCTTTCATAGCTTGGCACCTAGGTTTGTGAAGTTTTTGCAGCACGCTTCGGGTGTTGCTGAGCCCTCAAAAAAAACATCAAAAAAACGTCTGTTTGAGACAAAAAAACTGTGTTTTTCGAAAAGAACATGCATATACTGACTCATTCTAAATGGTTTTGATGTTTGTCACGGGTTCAGAAATGCTGTAAAAATCGAAACTCGTATAAAATCTATTCATATGTTTGGCTCTAGTAAAAGCAAACTGCAGGTGTTGCTTTTCATGGAGAAATTCAATCAACTCTAAAACTAGCATTCTTTTTTCAAATAATATCTGCAGTCCTACCAAAATGGATGTCCCCTTTGACATCGGTGTCTGGATCGTTGCAGCAGACGAGAAATTCCGCTTGGATTGTGAATTTTGTTTGGCGGACGACTTTCGGCCCAGTTCGACGAATTGCTTGGGGCCGCTATCAACAGTGGACAAAAACATACATTGAAGTCGATCGAACCTACTAATGTATGAATACAAGCGATTGCTTTTGGTCAGAGACATGCTCGCTGGTTCGAGTTTGAAATAATCTTGAAATGTAATTTACCTAGAACGAAGGATGCTTAAAGTCTTCTCCTGCCGCCGTCAATTAATGAGAATCTGCATTTCTCTTCATTATTCCTTTTAATATCGTTTCTTTCTCTCTATTGCCTAGAGTCAGTAGGTCGGTGAGTTTAATCTGTTAGGCCTTGTCTACACTACAAAAGTTAAAGGAGCTTTAAGCAATTCTATTGGCTTAAACTAACTTTTAGCCAATAGAATTGCTTAAAGCTCCTTTAACTTTTGTAGTGTAGACAAGGCCTTAGCTATGAAGCTATGAGTCATCTCAAAAGGCTTCTACCCACCCATCGAATAGGACAGCTTCGGCGGTATCTTCAAGCAGTTGTGCTTGTAACGACACGAATACACCGTTTTCATTAGTACTAAAGGGTTCAATGATCCACATGAAGAGCTGCGGATGTCTTCCGGTTTACATGCATCGGCGCTGTCGCACCGATGAACGTCGCCATCTATCTTTCTGAGTACTTTAATCGACTCTGTCTTCTATTTCCAGCACTCTGGTATAGTATATCTGTAGTATCTATATTGAAGAACAGATAGAGAAATTAATCGTCTCATGACTAATAAGAATAATAGAAATTAAGTTTTTTCTATGAAACTGTTAACTTCTTTCGAACTAATACAAAACAGACTAACTGTATGTGTCTCTCACACTCACCTCTTGTTCTGTTTTTATGACTTTTGCTTTTCCGTCTTATTTTACTCTAAGATTTGTTGTATGTCGACTACAAGCCGACGCTGCGTAATGTGTGAAGAGAAAGAAAGCAAAACTATGAGTAAGCTCTTTCTCGTCGTTTTGACACACATTTTCTTATAGTTGCGTAAGATTTACCTAGTAGTACAAGCAGAACAAGAAAGAAAATATTCTCTTTCTTTGTTTACTTTAGGAGGATCGATAAGCGAGAGAAGAGAAAATAGAATGATAGAAAAAAAACAGTTATTACAACAGATACAGCTGGTATACTCATTGTGCTAGAAGAAAAAGGCTCTTACATTTTTTTCGTTTTCTCTTTTCTCTCTTAAATTCCAGTAAACGTTTGCCTGCTGATGATACTCTGATCTTTTTTGAACGTTTACTGAAATTTAAGAGAGAAAAGTGAAAACGAAAAAAAAGTAAGAGGCTTTTTCTTCTAGCACAATCAGTATACCAGCTGTATCTGTTGTGATAACTGTTTCTTTTTCTATCATTCTATTTTCTCTTCTCTCGCTTATCGATCCTTCTAAAGTAAATAAAACAGAGAGAATATTTTCTGGCTGGCCAAATCTGGAATCTGTCTGACCAAAAGTGGAATTCTAATTTTGGTCAGGCCAAAATCGGAATTTGGAGTTGGAGATGATGTTTAGGAAGACAGTGCTTTGTATTATGATAAGTGACTTAAAGCTAAAAAGTCTGTCCTATATATTTACAATTTCTTACATTTTACATTCTTTCTCAGCTGGTCAGAAGACGCACAAGAGTGTTGTTCAGTGTACACGATATATATATAAAGAACAGAAAAAGAAAAATAGACACTTCGTTCACATTCTCTTTTTCTTCTGGTCAGCTGAAAAGAAATGTAAAATGTAAATACATTTTCTTACATTTCCTGTCTTTGCTCGATGTCTAATCTTACTTTGTTTTAAGATCACCTTCGTAACACGTTTTTATATTACAGTTTTGTCTTTCAACATTCTTGGAACGAAAGAAGAAAAGAAAATGAATAATGAAACAATTGTAAATAAACCATAGGCTTCGAGTATAGTTAGCAAAATATTATTTTTTTGATTATTATTTGTGTTAGTTTTGTTTTGTAGTTTAGCAACAGGTGTGTGAATATTTAAACTAATAGCAACAGTTAGATTTAGATTTGTGTTAGAATCTCAAACGCTGTAGTATTGAGCTAACAACTGTTTAAAAATTTGAAAAAGACCACACTAACGTCAGTGAATCCACATTCTACTCATCAGTGAATGTTCTGATTATTTCATCATATCTTAATCGAATATATAGACAGTGCCACTCACATTTCACTAAATGCGACTACTCTGGAAAGAGTTTGATTTTCTTTTCTTTTTTTTCAGGTCTTCTGCGCCTGAATGGATTCATTGCTTCCCTAGACCCAACTCTCTTCCTGATGGTTGGACGTTAAAAATGACCTTCCTGTTATGCAAGTTATTAATTTTATCTGGATAATAAAAAGAATTGAGGTAAACTAGCGTGTCTATTTCTTTTCTTCTGTCTTTTTCTGTACACTTAACTTATGACCCTAGATGTCTTTCTACGCAAAAAATGTATGTTGTCGTGTATATCCTCTATCTTCCGTCAGTGGTTTTATTTCTTTGTCCATGCGATATAAATACAGCTACTATTGTTTCTCTTCGCAGCTATTTTTACTGGTGTTTTATTCTTTTCTTAATAAATAGCTTATACCAAAATGAATCTGCGTAAGTAAAAATGCAATAACAAACATCCTAAGAGTTGATAATTCTTTTACTAGTGCAACGTTCATTAAAAAACAAAGGCAAATGAACGGAATATTCCCATAATAGTATTTGTTAATCCTGCTCTCAAAAATAACTGACTAAAATAGGATTACATCTACGCTACAAAATGTACTATTTTCTATTCTATTTTCAGGAATCAAACTTACGCTGTAAGAATTTCTTTCTGCTCTTTCTACTGAGTGATCGAGTCTATACTTTTCTATTGTCTTTTTTCTTACTATATATAAGATGATGGAACTAGGGGTGTCACTTCACCGTTTCCTTACTGGTAACAGAAAATGTTTGCAAGTTACTTGTTACTGGAAGCGGTAATTCTTTTTGTTATTTTCTTACCAGTTACCAGTAACTTATTTTTTTACTCTGTTATTTGTTACCTCTAAGAGTAACAAAAAAAGTTTCTTTTTACTAGTAAGTGGCAACAAGAAAACAGTTACTTTGTTACTTTTAGCAAAAGTAACAAAGTAACTTTGTTTTTCTCGTTTTTAAGTAATATATTCTTAGTTTCGGGTGACCTTCACTATAGTGAGCTTTCTCTTCTTCTTTCCTCTAGAATAATCTTCTCTCCCTGTAGTATATAAACAAGTGTCTTCTTTTTTTTCAATCTAACTGTACGGTTAACGTTAAGGCATCTCCTCTTCAACAAAATATTTTAAACATATGCACCCAGTGCTATCATTCTTTTCTTACTTCCAGTGTTCGGCGTGTGGATGTGTAGTCAACGAGAAAAAAAGGTACTTTACTTCTTTTGCTTAAAGGAACAAAGTAATAAAAGTTGTTACTTGTTACGCGTAACAAGAAATGTTTGACTATTTCTTGTTAAAGCAATGACAAAAATTTGTTACCTTTTCTGAAAAAGTAGATGGAATAAAATGGTCAAAACGGTTTTTTTTACGGACATTTCTAAAAGTATTCCATGTTATATGTATAGTTTTTAAAGGAGCATAATGTAATCACATTTAGATCAAACTGCAATCTGTTTTAGACGGCATTTGTCTGTGAGGATAGATCAAAGGAAGTTGCATTCTTCATAGTTTCGATATTCTTTCGACTTGCTTCTCCAGTAGGTTAAGAAATCTTTTTAACTTTATTCAAAAGAAATTCAAAGAAATTAGACTAAAATCTCAACTGAACTATAAAAAATATAATCTCTATTGAAAGTTATTCGTAAGACGACGCTTACGATCAGTAGTAGTTTTGACTTTACACTCTTCACAAGGAGAAATACATAAATGCCGCGGGTATATCAATAAGGTATCCTCGATATTCTGACAAACAAAGTAATCTGAAACATTGCTATTCGAGTTCTCTTAAGCTCAAAAAAATTTAGAACTTAGAATTACTAATTTAGTTAGAATTACTAATTTTGCTTCCTCATGGGAAATGTGGATGGCACTGACGAGTCTTGCAGACTCTCCGGATTCAGTGCCGTATGAAATGGCTGTATTAGATCGCATTGAGCTGAAATTTTTATGGAAGTCTATCCTTTACATATCTAACATGCCATCTAAATTGCATCAAGATCGGTCAAGATCTCTGAATTTTGGAAAGTCGAGTTTTTGAAGGCTTTCGACCATTTTTACATGAGGATTCACTTCAAAAAGTCCAATAAATATCATAGTTGTGTAAAAAATTTTCACGGTGAAGGAGAAGAATCTTTTGAAAAAACAGGTACTTTTCGAATTTTTTTTGACCCGCCCCTCAAAAACGAGATTTTTCGAAAATTTTCGACTACAGATTGCCCTAAACTTTCATTTTAAAAAAGTTTTTACTTAAAAAACTTCGCTGAAGGCAAACATTTTTCGAAAAACGGAAGGGATACAAGAGTAACCAAGCACTAAAAGGGAGTGGGACTCAGAAAGAGAAAGCCCGTCAAAAATAGGAAAGAAAAGAGGAACTAAGGGAGGCATGCCAGAAGATATAGGAAGATATAAGTAAAAGAACCTCTCTCTACCCACTTCATTTCGTGTATGTTACCTAGTTTATAAGTTTATAAGTTTAAAAGTTTAAAAAAGAAACTTTTAAACTTAAACGTAACTTTACCACCCCTAGTTTCGATAGTGCATGAGAAATGACTTTACAAGTGTAAAATAAAATTTGGCAAAAGTCTTATAGGAAAAAAGTTCTGCTTCACACATCTCATCCCACACCGGTTGAGGTGCCAGCCAGATACTAACTTCCTCAACAGGAATTTTGGTTGATCAGATTCAAATTCTGCACGCAAAAGCGATGCCAGATAACTATAGTTTATAGCTATTTTGTCCAATCCTTCGTGAGATATTATTCTATTCAAAGAAAATTTTGTTTCCTATGTCTAAATACGCCAGAATGTTCAATTTCTCACGCTCTCAATGAGATGTAGCGCGGAAAGAACTGATGTGAAATGGCGGAGCTATAAATTCTTTACCGAACACTGTGGAGATTTTATCTGAAAAAATGATTCGAAATTCGATAACTCGGGAAGGCGATGTCCAAAATTCATGAAACTTTAGTTCTAAAGGTTACTCGAGATCCTCTCATACTTTGATCCAAATCTGAATTTCTAATGCTTTCCATGTACGCTTGGCCAATGCTTGATACACTCGAAATGTCTCTCTTAAAATATCTATTCGAAAGCACACTACTGTAGTTGAGTCACACAAATACGGTAAGTGGGCCGGAGGCAGGTAGGGTCACTTTAGAAGTTCTTCTGAAAAGCCGGTATTTGACTGTTTTGACCTCGCCTTTTGATCTTGTGACGTTCTAATGTTACCAGCACTGCTGCAAATTGCGCAAACGCTTGCACAAAGGAGGTTCATCTTATTAGCTATTTATTCAGCGATTGTTTTTATTTTGACCCCCTGGGTCCGCATAGCACTCGAGTAGGCAAACATTTCTCAATAAGTTAGTTTAGCACCGGTATACACGTTTCACAGTGGGCATCCAGGCGGAAATGAGGCAGAAAAGCAAAGTTATTCGTTTTTCAAAAATAGATAGTGTAAAATGTAGCCCTGAAAATTCTCTATCGAATGGTGTATAAATGTCTATTTTGAGATCGAGTCGTTCGAGAGAAAATTGAACTACACGAAATGTGTATGGAGTACCACCCAACGAACTACCTTTGCATGTAACCGTGATTCTTTGTTCTCTCTCAGTGATATTTAACGATTGGAAAGCACATATTCGGAATCAGGCGATCCTAACCTATCTACTCATACCAAAATGTGTCTACTTCAATTAGAAATCGAGGAGTAGCAGCGCATCGAATCTTCCTAACGTCAGTCCCACAAAGGACTACCTCAGTATAGTCGTTTGCCCCCCGCTGCCCTCACTTAAAAGTAACATCTAAATAAACACAAATGGTCTTCAGCACCTACTCTATCTACAGTATATTCGACTTTTCTCGATGTATTTTTAAAACCGAATTACGAATTTTTCAAAATTCCTAAGGTTTTCTGCGTATTTCGAAGATTTCTCATTCGTCAACACACTTTTCATCAAATATAATATCATATTCGGAATCAGCGTGAAAAGCTGCATCGAATGATATATAGCTTTTTAATTTTTCTGCAGAAATATTTTCGATCAAACCGAATTATACAGTTGAAAGCCTCTCCGCAGCAAATTTTGCTAGGAATTTGGATATTTATTTTAGTAATAGTACACAAGTCTATAAACACATTTTTTATAGGTTTTCGAATATGATCTCTCCAATAGTGAGGTTTTCGAAACGTAAAAATATTTTTTATGGGTTTTCCAGAGATCCAGTCTCCAGAAAGCCCACAAGGAATTACTTTTGGGTTCTGAAAATCTCATCATTAGAAAGAGCATATTCGAAAACCTATAGAAAAACGTGTTTATAGGCTTTCATATCACTTCTACAGCATATGTCCGCCTGCTCTATAGAAAAATGCCCACTGTGCGTTTTTATCTAGGATACAATAGTTAGTACAACACAAATAACAAGAAAATAGCAGCAGTCTCTCTCTCTCTGTGTGTGTCTAGTTTATCGTTTCTTTCTTCTGCTAATCGATGATCGTTGTGCAGTAAATATATTGAATAGTGTAGTCAGAGTTTCGGATGCAGGAGCAGCATATTTATCGAAGAACGGGTGCGCATATCCCCCTCCACCTCCACAGCTATCCGTTTTCCTCGGCGCATCCATAAATCCAAATGGATTTACTCTTACATCTGCTTTGGGCTTTTGATTCGCCACTCGATTTTGAACAGCTTCACTCCAAACTTCCGGTGTACGATTATTAGCACCAGGAAATCTTGCAGCCTGATCCGCTGGCACACATGTATCCCCTTTGATTTTTCGTACAAAAACAGGAACACCTGCTTCTCGTGCAGCTGCTAAACGACGATTGTCCACAGCTGTATAGAGACCATCAGGCATTTCCACTACATCAATTGCTGGCATCGAATAACTGTAATTAGGATAGAAAAGGGGAAAAAAATTCCTCATGGAGAAAAGTGGACGTCGCTGGAGACTCTTGCAGACTCTTCGGTTTCAGTGTCGTTTAGAATGGCTGGATTAGTCGCATTAAGCTGAAATTTTTATCGAAGTCTGTCCTTTTCATGTCTAACATGCCATCTAAATTGCTTCAAGGTCGGCAAGATCTCTGAATTTAAAAAGTCGGGTTTTTAAAGGCTTTTGAGCATTTTTACATGAAGATTCACTTCAAAAAGTCCAATAAATATCATATTTGTGTAAATCGAATGATGTACTCTGTGTCTTATTAGAATTTTCGGGACGCATCTTGACCGATCGAGACTCTAGACGAAGAAACTATCCACAACGTTCACTTCATCCCAGTTTTTCATGCTGATCACAAATATGATATTTATTGGACTTTTTGAAGTGAATCCTCATGTAAAAATGGTCGAAAGCCTTCAAAAACTCGACTTTCCAAAATTCAGAGATCTTGACCGATCTTGATGCAATTTAGATGGCATGTTAGATATGTAAAGGATAGACTTCCATAAAAATTTCAGCTCAATGCGATCTAATACAGCCATTTCATACGGCACTGAATCCGGAGAGTCTGCAAGACTCGTCAGTGCCATCCACATTTCCCATGAGGAAGCAAAATTAGTTCCGAAAAAAAAGAAGAAAGAAAAGGATATGTAAATTTGTTCGCCTTGAAAAGGCGGCTCAAATGGGATATCATAGTATGGGGTTGCTCTTAAAATAAAACTGCTGAAAGATCTGGCGCACAAACAGGTGAAAACCGACATGGACGGTTTTCATTTATTTGGTGCAGATTGTTGTCAATAAAATATTCTGACATTGAAGAGGACATCATTTTCAGTACGCATAAGAAACCAGTAAAAGAGAAATACATACGGCATTTTTCCTTTGTGTTGATTTTTCATCATCGCTGCAGCCATATTATCTACATTTTGTCCAGCAACACTCGTCTGACTAAAACGTATTTTATTTGGATCCATTTGATATTCATCGAACGCAGCCGTACGAACACGTGCACTTTGTTTTGCGAATAAATAGGCCATACTTGCTTCCACAGTAACACCACAGAGAATATCGACAATATCGCCTATGGTCGCTTGTTCTTTTTGAGAAAAGAACTGTAAAGTAATATATATTTTTTTTGTCGTCCATGGTGTACGACCAAAATAAGTTTTTCAGCGAGTTGTCATATGAAATGTACCTCTACTTTTATTAGAAAGGGTTCTGCAAAGCAAATTTTCATTCGTGGACTCGATGAGATCATTAGAAATGAAATTGCAAAGAGTCACAATTAGAGCTGCTGCTTCAAAGACTTAATAATTCAACAAAAGTGAGTCAATTCACTATCAAACAATTATGATTGCGTTCTCAGCAGAAATATTTCCTCCGATGTAAATGGTTAGGAAATACTGTCAGATAATCGGTAAAAAAAAGGAGAGATTCGTATAAGAGCTTAATCTCTCTCCATGACTTACTAGTAAAAAGTTATCGATTTTTTACTAAACGCACCCGAACGCGCCAAAAAGTGACTCATTGAACGGCAAGAAGCCTCGTCGCTTGAATATGCCCGATAAAAATCGGCTGATAGTATAGGTTTGTAGAGGAGCTAGAGCTGATCAAGAATATGTGTCTTTCAGCATAGGTACTTAGAGAAGCGGAAGATATTTTAATGTATAGCTCGACGATCGGCCGTTTTGCCAACCTAAGCTGTGGGGCATTTCGCACCTCGCGCTTTTCTCCCTAGATTCAGGTATTGAATGTGTGATGTAGCCATTTCTATTATCTGTAGTTTGTCCAGAGGACGGCGACGACGCTCCTGTTCAATAAGTAGTTGAGAAGGTAGATCTCGGAGACTTTTGTTTATTCTTTCTCGGCATCGTTTTTCTCGATGGGATTGTATTTTATTCTGTATAGATTTGTGAAAAGACTAGAACTACTGCTTTTATAAAAACTCTTCCAACAGCATCGGAAGAAGGACACAAAAGAGGTCTGATCAAGTTCACAAGGAGACTTTTTTTGTTTTTGCCGTGCCGTTCTAAAATGGTGCGCTCTTTTTTTCCCTTACTCGTTTAATAGCGACAGGATGAAGTTAGAAAGAGTATGAGTTGGTTCTCTGTACTTTTCATTAGACAACATGGACAGATGCAGCTCGATGAGCTCTATCCAATGAGATGTTGCTCGAAATGATCGGTAGAGAAACGACAGAGATAAAAAAGAAATACTAATTTGAGAAAAACGACACTTTCGTTTTTGACACTTTTCGTAAAAATTCTATAACGTTTCACAGACGTATTCGAAAATCATTTCCAGGTACGGACTACCCTTATTTTGTGTGGGCTATCAAAGAAAAATACTTTCAACCAAATCTATTTTTTGCCGTGCCAGCGATTCTAGGAAATAGTCGATTTTCTCGCGATGCCTCTCTTAATGGCACATGTCCAATTGAAAATTTGTCAAATTCCTCTTTTCGCCCAAGCCGCATATTGTTAAAAACAGAGAGAAACCCCATCTGAACGACACTTCAGCAGGCCGAGTGTAGAATAATTCAAATCAGTTCTATAGGGAGCGAAAATAAGGTTGGTCCCTCGGTCGCTTCTCTATTTTACGATTTGAAATCATCAAAGAGTGTGTGGTGTGTACAGAAGGAAGGGGAAGGAAAAAGTATAGTAGTATTATTGCAGGAGCACTTTTTTGGTGTGCGCAGCAGAGAATGCTATTAGAGAAGGTTGCAATCAAAGGCAACAACAACTCGTCCTCCAACAGTTGGAAAAACAGTGTCAAAACAGTTGGTTTTGGAAATGCTCGAAAAAAGAAGACCTACTGCGAGAGAATCCAATTTACAGGTGGTTTGCTTTTGGTTACTTTTTCAGCATTTCTGACTATAACAGAGAAAGATGCCCAATCAGAAATCGAAATCAAAAACCGTCGAATACCGAATTGGAGCCGAGTTATTTGGAGGTAATAAAAAAAGAAACTCCGATGTCTTGATACCTGAATGAATGCCCCTCTGAAACCTATGTTTGTGTAGTTTAGAAAATGAATTTTCGAAGAAGAAGAAGATATGACCTAAGTTTCCAATCTTCTTCATGAGGAGACCACAGGTTCGACTTATCATATATTCGCTCCACATAGCCGAGAAGAGGTATCCTACTATTATCATTATAAAAAATCTTTAGCAACTCGAGCTCCTTCCAAACTAAGGGGTTCCGATTACTTTCTGCAATTAGGTTAAATTAACTTCTTATACGAATCTGTCCTCTGTGCTGCCGATTATCTGTATTTCCTCAGCATTTACATCAGACGAGCTGAGAAAATACAGCGACTTGACTTAACTTTTATTGAATTAAATCTTTGATAGCAACTCTAACTTTTGCCAACCCTGATCATTAGTTCTACATTTCATTTCTGACGAGCCCGTGGAAACCACTAGAAAAGTGATACTTTTCATACTTACAAAGTTTTACTTAAAATATTTAAAAAAAAAGGTACTACTTTACTATACTTTTATTTTTCTGTAGAAGTTCGAAAGGTAGGAAAATATTTTTAGTTTTCGAATATGAATTTTTTTTAAAACATTTCCATAGAACAAATTACTTTCCTTAGACTATGTAAGAAGTAAAACTGTACCTTTTTGAATTTGATCGATAGAAGCAAGATATCCATTTGGGCTATATTCATTTTTGACCGCCGATTCAACACCAGTGATGAGTAAATCCATCAAAAGTCCACCACCGACGGCGCCAGCCGCTGCTCCCAAAGGTCCTCCAAAAAATAGACCAACAGCAGCACCGAGAATGACACCACTTGTTCGTGAGGCATTTTTCATAGCACGTTCTCCAGTTTCGGGGTAACCAGCCATATATGCTAGCGCACCTGAGACGCAAAAAAGAGACGATTGGAAAGTTTAAAAAAAAAAAGAAGTACTTACCAATAATATGGCCAACACCGGGTGTACCTTCCGCAAAGGCAACCGCAGTTTGCAACCAAAAAGAGAAAAATTCTTTTTGTGTTCGCCATGCTTCTCCAAGATCTCCATCAACTAATTGAATGAAAGATTTCCATTGTGACAAAATTGGACAATTTATGAAAAATTTTTCCTGCGTTTTCAATGCCTGTGCAGGATCACCAAAGAGGAGTTGAACGCATGATTTAACTTGAGAGATAATTGGAATTACATCGAATAAATTTGTTGCTCTGTCACTAGTAGAGGAGAGAAACAAAAAAAGAAATGTAGGGCAATGGATTTCTTTGCTGGACTTCTAACAAAACCTTTTTAAATAAGTTCGCGAGCAAATCTCTGTACTAAGAGAAATATTCTAGGTGTTGTGGGAAAAAATATCAACAGACAGATAGTGTGGGCTGTCGTATATATATATTAAGTAGTGTGGACAGCCTTGTGCACCGAAAAACTTAATATATATATATACATAGATGATTTGTTTCTAAACGGATGACACATAAAGATGCAGCTTTTAAGCAGGGCTAAAAAATGAATATTTATCGTTCTGGATGATGCCCATAAGATCAATAAAGGGCCAGTTTGGAAGTTGCATGTCCATCTTTGGGATGATTATATCTCGCGAACCAGAAGCGAAGGTTTTTTATGGATATGTTAGAAAGTTGCACTGACTTTAAGGGTGGACGGTTCCGATTCTGCGGGACCGAAATTATTTTTGAGCCGCGACCGAGACCAAAAAAACTTTTTCCGGAAAGACGGTTCCATGTAAAAAACAAGTTCAACAAAAAAATGAAAAATTCGAGAAAAACCGTAAAAAAAGTGAACCTTTGAAAAAATTTCTTCACAGACGCCCCTAAACTTTCACATCCAAAAAAAACGATCATCTTTACAAATTTCTGAAAAACAGTACTTTTTTAAAAAAACATTTTTTAAAGGGACAAACTACCGGGACCGGGACCAAAAAAAGTGCTTTTGTCCACTCTTAACTGGCTTAGTTTACGTTTTTTATTTGGAAGAAAGATGCGCAGAGGCGAAGCCAAATAGCACTTCGCAAGTGAAATGCGAAAATGAAAGAGGGAGGAAAAAAGAGCAGAATGAACGAAAGGAAAGAAAGAAAGAAATAACAAAGACCATGAGTATGAATGAAAGAGGGGAAAAGGTGAGAGGGAGATCACTCGGGAGAAACGGGTTGTCTTTTCATCGATACAGAAAGGACGGGAGTTTAGGCCTCGAAACGCCTTGATCTCACGATCAAATCGTTGGCCTTAACTGGCTTCTAAGCTTTCTCTTCATAAAATCAAAATTTAATGTATACACTCCTAAGGATCCGTTTCGATCAGGTAGTGACAGGTGTGCATGGTTTGAGTCGGGGCTTTCCAATGCTACTAACTGTTTCCCTTTTTCGAGATAGGGGACAACAAAGATGGATACTCGATTTCGGAACTGGTACCTACTGGTCTTATGGTCATATATAGTAACTCTAACCGTCATCATTCAGGACAATATATACTCCTTTTGTAGAGAAATTCAAGCTCCATCTTTGCATGCTATAGCCTGCAAATACATTCGCTTAATAAAAAGTTTCAAGATGCTAATTCTACAGAGTATACCTTTTCATAGTTTTTCGCTCTTAACGTTTTCCTGATTTGTTGGTTTCACTCAGAAATGCGTATACCAAATCGAGCTCCACATTTCTAACATAGGGAAGCCACCAAAAATTTTGATCGCAACAAACGGAGCAAACGTAACAATCGTAGAATGTAAATAGCTTCTCTTCCATGTTTGTATAAGAGAGAAAATATATAAAATCTATCGTTTCTTTTGCATTTTTTTTTCATTAACTCTTATGGGCAAAACGAGAAAAGATCTCCGAAATACCGCGGATTAGATCTAGATTGACTTAGTTGTATAAAAAAACATGAAAAAGATTTTTAAAAATAATTTTTTTTATTTCAAAATCATGAAATGGATCTCGGAAAAAATGTCTAATAGATCTCAATTCAGTTAATTGGATGGAAAACATGGAAGAGATCTCGATTGTTTGTTGCACAAGTGTATAACTAACACAACACTATATGCTTAATTGATGATATTTTATCTTATATAATATTTCTTAATTGATGATCATGTTTTCCTTAATTAATCACCGATTAAGAAAATTGTTTAATATGATCATTTGTGCCAATTAAGAACAACTAAAAATAATTCCAGCTGCTGATGCTATTAAGGACAAACATATTATTGTGTTAGTGGAAGAATAAAAGGAAAAATCGTTTGTTTTTCAGCACCACATTATTCGCTCATTTATTAAAAATTACATATCGTCGTAAAAAAATCATATAAAAATCAAAGCATTATTTTTTCTATTGTTTTCTGCCATGTCTCGTCGAATTTGGCAAGAGCTTTCATCAGGTATTAATAAAGATTATCTTTCAACATTAATTAAGCAACATAATGTTTGTACATATCGTACTGAACCATGCAACAGTTATCTATCAATAACATACAAATGTTCAGAATATAATCTCATGTTCATATCTGCATGTCCGTCAACATGTCTGCATGTTCATATCAGTTAAAAGCCAAACAACATGTAGATGGAACATACCAATTATATTCCTCATCATGTCATAATCATCAACAACGCGCTGATAGTAATCGTTTATTATCACCTATTCGTGACAA